GCCCGCCCCTCCCCCTCCGGTGACAGAAAGTCAGCCCAGCAGATGAGGAAGTGGCAGGCAGGCAGGCTGGCCCCGGGGACTTCTCTCTGGCCCTGCTCCCTCGAGCCTTCCGCTGGTGCCCGCCTGGCCCCCCGCTGGTGAGTCTGGACCTTCCCCGGGCTCTCCACGTGCCGGCGCCCCCTGCCTGGCCCAGCCCTTGCCAGCCCTGCCCTGCCCTGCCCTGCCCGGGCTGTGGGCGAGGCTGTTACTGGGGCGAGTGGGTGGGAGGTCCCAGCTCCCTGGGGCCGGGCCTCGCCTACACCCTCCCTCCCCCGACACCCGCGTCCCCGGCCTCATTTGCTTACACCCAGGCCTTCCTCCACCACCTCCAGCTCTTGCTCCTCACCCCCTCCCTCCCGCTCTGCCCTCGGCTCCCCCTTCCCCTCCGCCTTCCTTTGCCCGGCTCCTTTTCACTTCCATCCATCTTAAAGGAAGGAAGGAAGGAAGGAAGGAAGGAAGGAAGGAATAGCCTGAGTTCCCCTACGGGGACACACCCAGATTTTCCTTCCGCTTGGGGAGAGGTCCTTCCCAGAAGCTTTGAGTCCCTCCTGACCTCCAGGGTGTGTGTATGTGGGAGGGTGGGGGTGAACTGAGGCTTGGTGGTTGAGAGCGATAAGCTGGCAAACTCATCGTGTGTAGAGCACATGCCTAAGCCTAGGCCCTGCCCCAGAATGGGCACCCCACAAAGTCTGCACGTGAGGGAAGAGGTGATCATTGGTCTCGGCGAAAGAGCTGTGCCAGACCGAGGGCAGGTGCGTGTCTGCTCCCAGGGGCTCACACGTGTGCGAGTGGACCTGTGTGTGCGCCTTCCAGCGGGCGTGGGCCTGGGCGGGGAGCAGATGCGTCTGCACATGGTACCCAGCCTGTGAGGGCGCTGTGTGAGGGCGGTGTGAGGGCTGGAAGCCACGCGAGTCACAGTCCGTGGAAGCCAGTTTGGCTGGTGTGTCAGAGGCAGGAGGCTGTATGTGTGCTAGCCCTCCCGTGTGCTGGCTTTGTTGTCGGGGGCATTGGGGTGGGCAGCTGAGACGAAGGGGGCCTGTGCGGATGGCAGGGCTGGGGCATGACCATGGTGTGTCTGAAGAAGTGGGGGGTGACATGGAGGTGTGGGGCAGCACCTGTGAGGGGTGTGCGCAGGGTGCACTGCAGCCCCTGGTGGATGTGTCAGAAGGTGTGCTGCATCACTTAGCACCTGTGCAGGTGGGTCTCTGGATGGAGGGAGCCAGGAGCACCTGCTGCCTTGGCTGGGGAAATACCTTGTCCCCCTGGGACTGTCTCAGAGTCCCAGGTTCTCCTGAGTCTGGGCAGAGGCTCTTGTGTCCCTGTGAGCCTTCCCCCGACATTCCTTCAGGCTCTGAGGGGGATGGGGCCTAGCCCATTAGGACCCCTCCCTGAGGGAGGGAAAGATTCCTGAGACCTCCCCCACTCCCCCACCTCCTCACATGCCACTGGCTTCCCTGCCCCTCCCTGGAAGAGAAAGGTGATTGTACCCATTCTGAAGTAGGACAAACTGAGAATTAATGGCTGGCTCAGGAGAGGATGCTGGGTGTGGATTTTCAGCAGTTCTTTGGGCCAAGGCTAGGGCTGGAGTCTGGGGGAGGTTTCTGACTTGGAACCTTGGACCTTAGCTCATCTGCCTGGTCCAGGGTGGGTGGGTGCTGAGTCTGGGGCTTTACTTGGCTTTCCCAATCCTGGTGGGTCCTGCTCCGCCCCCCACAGGCACTGACCTGTGGCCTGGATCCACTCTCCACCCCATGCATCCTTTCGGCTGGGGTGGGTGGAGGGAGGGGCTACTGCCAGATCTAGTCAGACAGGTGGAGCCGCCGGGGCAGGAGTCTCAAAGAGCCAGGCTCCAGGAGAGGAAGGGCTCTTGGAGAAGAGAGAGGAGGAGAGAGGACAGCACCGAGAGGAGAGCCTGGAGGTGAGAGCCCTGGGAAGGCAGAGGAGAAACCCAGGGAGATCAGTGTCCCAGCAGGGGAGAGGAGGAATCCCAGGCAGGTTCTGGAAGGAATAGAAGGGACCAGGGAGGTGAGAGTTCTGCCAGGGGAGAGGAGGGACCCTGGGAAGATAAGAGTCCCTGGAAGGGACTGGGGGGAAAAGAGAAAACAAGAGAGGAGCTGTTGAAGGGGAACATCCCTGGAGAGAAGAAAGACCCAGAGTTGGTGAGAGACCTGGGCAAGGAAGGGAGAGGAAGTTCATTCTAAAGATGTTGGTGAGGAGTTAAGACTCTCTGGAAAGAAACCAGGGATTGAGAGTTCCATGGAGGAAGAGGGGAGAGGAGGCCAGGAAGTAAAACTCTCTGGAGAGGGCAGAGAGTGAAGAGAGGAAGGTGTGGAGAGGAAGGTGTGAAGAGGAAGGGTGGAACAGCCCTTCCCGGTAGGCAGGATGTGTAGGGAGCAGATGTCCCCACCAAACTGCCTCCTCCTTCCCTAGACCCCAGCAATTGCTTCCTCTCACTGCTCTTCTGTCCTTTCTGCAATGAGGAATCGGGAGTTGTCTGGTTCTGTGTCTTGTCTCTGGGATGAGGGTGCACAGTGTGCTCTGTCTGACATCTACCTTCCATACCTCTCCAGAGTCCTTAGCCAGGATGGAGGCTGTGGTGAACGTGTACCAGGAAATGATGAAGCATGCAGGTAAGGTGCCATCCACCAGCCCTTTCCTCTCTTCTTCTCTGGGATCCCTGGATCTAGGGCTGTCTGCTAATGGAGAGACCTCATGAACCCCTTGACCCTTTTATGACCTGACCTCATGTCTGTAGAGCTGGTGAAGACCTTTTGGAACCCATGGCCCTTTCTGATCCTTTGACCTTTCTTCATAGATCCCCGGATCCAGGGCTACCCTCTGATGGGATCCCCCCTGTTAATGACCTCCATCCTCCTGACCTACGTGTACTTCGTTCTCTCCCTTGGGCCTCGCATCATGGCCAATCGGAAGCCCTTCCAGCTCCGTGGCTTAATGATTGTCTACAACTTCTCACTCGTGGCATTCTCCTTATACATTGTCTATGAGGTGGGCCCCTGGGATGCCTGGGCTTTAATTCCTGCCAGCAGCATAAGGGGTGGGCTATAGGGCCAGAGCATGGCATCTCTCCTTTCCAGAGAGGCTCAGGTCCATGTCTGCAGCTAGCAAAGGGGAGGGAAGTGCTGGGAGGGGAGAACTCTGGTGGTCTAATCCACACCCTTTCCTAGTTCCTGATGTCTGGCTGGCTGAGTACCTATACCTGGCGCTGTGACCCTGTGGACTATTCCAATAGCCCTGAGGCACTTAGGGTAAGTAGGGGCCAGGGCTAGATCAGAGCAGCCTGGGGGATAGGAGTAGTTTGGGTGTGACCTGTGCCCATGGCCTAGTTTAGGGAGACTCTTAGAGTAGCCTGTGGGGTCCTAAGGCTGCCCTGACTTCTTGCAGATGGTTCGAGTGGCCTGGCTCTTCCTCTTCTCCAAGTTCATTGAGCTGATGGACACAGTGAGTAGTTATATGAGATGCGAGAACTGGGGAGAGAAAGAAGGGTAGAGGCCCTGGGTCTGAACCCCCTTCTCCCACTCTTCTCTCAGGTGATCTTTATTCTCCGGAAAAAGGATGGGCAGGTGACCTTCCTACATGTCTTCCATCACTCAGTGCTTCCCTGGAGCTGGTGGTGGGGGGTAAAGTTTGCCCCGGGTGAGTTGTGTGGGCCACAGGGGGAAGAGGGTGCACACTGGGGACCAGAGGCTCGACTCTGCTGACCCTGTTTTATTGTCTACTCACAGGAGGAATGGGCTCTTTCCATGCCATGATAAACTCCTCTGTGCATGTTGTCATGTACCTCTACTATGGGTTATCTGCCCTTGGCCCTGTGGCTCAGCCCTACCTTTGGTGGAAAAAGCACATGACAGCCATCCAACTGGTGAGGGGCTTGGGCCTGGCCTATAACCATCCCCCCAACATACCTAGTCTGGATCCTGCCCTTCTCCAACCTGACTCACCTTTGACCCCTTCCCTCCCCACTCAATGTTTATTTCTTTCTCTAGTCCCTCTTACCCTGTAGTCCTCTCACTGTCCCCTCTGACCCTTGCCTTTCTGTCCTAGATCCAGTTTGTCCTGGTCTCACTGCACATCTCCCAGTATTACTTCATGCCTAGCTGTAACTACCAGTACCCAGTCATTATCCATCTCGTCTGGATGTATGGCACCATCTTCTTCGTGCTGTTCTCCAATTTCTGGTATCAATCTTATACCAAAGGCAAGCGGCTGCCCCGTGGTGTACTTCAGCAAAACGGAGCTCCAGGTATTGCCAAGGTCAAGGCCAACTGAGAAACATGGCCTGGATAGGCGCCCACCTAAGTGCCTCAAGACTGCACCTTGGGCAGCATCTGTCAGTGCCCTCCTTGTCTACACCTGTGACCAGGGCTTGCATGGTCAGGACTGAGCAGGGGACTGGCCCTCCCCTCCCCACAACTGGTCTACAGGGACCACAGCTTCCGTTCGTTCCTCACCCACTTCCCCCTGCCAACTCCAGGGATGTGGCCTCATTGCCCTCTGCCACTCCAGAGCTGGGGGCTAAAAGGGCTGGACACTTACTTCCCCCTCTCTGCCTTAAACTTGGGAGAGGAGCACTCAGGGCTGGCCCCCACCAGGGTCTTGTGGCCTTTTTCCTCACACTGAAGAGGTCAGCAATAATCTGTCACTGTGGACCCGGTTTCCCTCCTCCACCCCACACTGAAGCAGTAGCTTCTGGGCCAAAGGTCAGGGTGGGTGGGGGCCTGGGAATACAGTCTGTGGAGGCTGCTTACTCACTTGTGTCTTAATTAAAAGTGACAGAGGAAACCAGAGGTCATGTGTGTACATGTGTGTGTGGAAGAGGTAGGGTACACAGCTTGCTTAGCCCTGTCTATAAACAGGAGTGATGGTCAAGGCTCCCAGAGGACATTTCTAGCTCTCTGATCCCAGTAGAGAGGAGCCCTTGGGACACAGGTCACGCAAGAAGAAAGGGAGACATGACTTTATTAGAAAAATAAAAAACTGAGGCAAAAGGTTGGTCCTCAACGGATGCCTTGGTGGATGAGGCTGCTTTTCGCTGCACTAGCCTTCTCCCGCTCCCGCCGCCGTGCAGGGTCCAACTCAAAACAGCGCCATAGCCTCAGGGTCTCATCTGCTGCTGCTGATGCCACAGTGGCCCCATCTGGGCTCATTGTCAGACTCAAGACCCGGGATGTGTGACCTGGGGCAAATGAGGACAGTATATCTTAATGCAGACACATCCATAGACCTCCCAATTTTGATGGCCACGTTGCCTTTCTTGTTTTTCGTAACCACTTTATTGAGATAAAATTCATACACCATAAAATTAATCCTTTTAAAGTTCACAATCGAGTGGTTTTTAGTATATTTGCAAAGTTGTGCAACCAATAAAACTATCTAATCCCAAAACATTATCATCACTCCCTATTACCCTCTTCCCCTAGCCCCTGGCAACCATGAATGTGTTCTGTCTCTCTGGATTTCCCTATTCTGGACATTTCATGGCGAGTCATAATATGTGGCCTTTTGTGTCTAGCTTTTCACATAGCCACCTACCTTTGAGCTCAGCCACCTTGGCCATGGTTGGGTACTTCCAAATAACCAGCTGGTTCTGGGCAAAGCCATGGCCTGAGATGAGCTCCTTGTAGTGGGGAGACCAGAGGATGGAACACACCTGTGGAGAGGAGATAGCATGGGCACGACATACAGGCTGACTCAGAACTGAGTCAGTTCCAGTGTTGGGCACCCTGCCAGGTGCTACAGACTTAGACTTGAATGATCAGTCCTTACAAAAGCCCTTTGAGGGACAATAAAAGATGGTCCCCAACTTAACACTTTTGACTTTATGATGTGTTTATTGGGATGTAAGTCAGGGAGTATCTGTATTATCCATTTTATAGATGAGGAATCAATCAGAAGGAAGTTCAATAAATTGCTTAAGGTCACATGCAAGTTAAGTTAGTAAGTGACAAAGCCAGAATTTGAATTTTGGCCATCTGGCTCTAGAGGCCATGTCAAGGGCGAAGTTGCATGTGGGGGAATGGAAAGAGGAAGCGGAAGTGGTTGCATGGAGGCCCACCAGCAAAAACCTCAAATGTCATTATAATGGATTTGGATTATATGCCATAGGTGATGGGGAGCCATTACAGGCTTAAGGACAGTAATAGACCGCTCAGACCAGTGTAGAAGACAGATTGGAGGAAATAAATGCTTGAAGCCCAGTGAGGAGGCCATTGTAGTGGGCCTCCACTGGGAGGAAGGGTGAGTCTGAGGGAAGGGGACAGATGTGAATGATGTTCTGAGGAAAAACTGACAGACTGTGGTGAGGAAGACGAACGATTCTAAAAGGTTTTTCATATTTCTGAGCAGGTTCTTCCATTCTGAAGCAATTTAAAAAGAGAAGAAGGAACACATTTCAGCAAGGCAAGGGGAAGTGACAAGTTTAATTTGGGACCTGTTGAGGTGGTTATGCCTATTGGGCATAAAGGTGGAGACAGCTACAGACTGTTGGAAATAGAGCTCATAAGTGAGAGCTGAGTTCGAAGTCTGGGAATTATCAGGGTATAGAGTTGGTGAAGCCACTAAAGTGAACATAGTCGCCCAGGAAGACTACACAGAGTAAGAACATATCTGGGAGTGAGAGGCTGGAATAGGTAAAAGACTACCTGGGAATGGGCATCCACAGCACTCAGACAGGCCCCAGAACAGACATTCCAGATGCGAATGTGTCGATCACTGGTACCCCCTCCTGTTGCCAGGACATTGGATTGCCAGGGACACCAAGCTACAGCCTAGGTGGGATAACGGTGGGGTCAGCAGGTACTAGAACTAGACAAGGAGCTATAGGGGTCACAGATTAACCCAGTCCAATCCCACCATCCCATCTCCCCTTAATAGTCCCCATGTTATAGATGAGGGTCTACAGAGACCTTAGCCCAACCCCCCCTCACCTTGACAGCCCCTTGATGCTGGGTGAATGTTTGCAAGGGAACCCAGCCACCCTCTCCAGGAGCACTAGGCCACACATTAACCAAGTTGTCATTGCCACCACTGGCCAAATGTCGTCCATCTGGAGCCCAGCACAGCCCACACACTTCCTGGCTGTGGCCACTCAGTGTGGCCACATGGTGTTCTGCTACCCGAACATCATGGTGGTGGATGTGGCCGGAGCGTGAGCCGCTAGAGGAGGGAGAATGGGAATCAGGTTCTGTGGCAGCACCAAATGCAAACAAGCCAGGGCTGCTTCAGTTCAGGGGTGTACAGTTAAGAGCAGAAGGGGCAAAAATCAGACTGATTTTGCCAAAGACTGGCAAAAATCACTGACCTGGACAGGATATAGCTGTTCCAACTTAGGGAGCCGACTCGGGCAGAGTGACTGGTCATATTTCGAAGCCGTTTCTGCTGTTGCACATCCCATAGCTAGAGAGAGAAGACCCGCAGGATAAGAGACTGGGACTTGGCATTAACATCCGCCAGCTGGTCAAGTCCCCTGGGTGATGACAGAGCTGCAGTGCAGGGACACAAGTCTCACCTGCACCTCAGCACTGCTGGTGCCCACAGCCAAGTAGTTGCCCTCTTTGATCCAGGCCACAGAGGATACATATTCCCCAGGCTGTTCCATTTGCAATAGCTGCAGGATATCACCAGAACTTGCACTCCACAAGTACACACTATTATCCAGCGCCACAGCCAGTACATTCCCAGAGCTCCAATCCACAAGGTTCAGGTCTGCCAGATGTGGAAAGGGAGGAGCATGAGCTTCCTTGTTTGTCTGGTCCCCAGGCCCTCTTTCTCCATTCACAGGACAAGGATAAGGCTGCACTTACAGTAGTCATTTCGGATTTCAGGGGCATCCAGGATACGGTCTGGCAAGGAAGGAATGTAGCGGCAGGTCTTCCGGCTGGAGCCAGGTGTGGCCTTCTGGCTATAGAGTACTTTCAGTCTGTTCTGGTAACCTGTGGCAACAGAGTGGGTTTAGACGTTGGGAAAATTGACACCTCCCTTACCCTCAGTCTTAGGTAAGAAGAGCAGACAGGTAGCTCCCCTCAGCCCTTATAGATGGACTGACATCTCCCTCCAAGAACCAGGAACTTCAGGTCTTACCTTCTGGGGCATTTTGTGGTTTTCCACTGAGGCGAAGGATCTTGGCTTCCTCCACATCAAAACCGTTCAGGTTCAAAGCCCAGGCTTTCTGATGTTCCTGGCATGTAAAAGTGGTGGCGAAGCATGATGTTATCCAATGGACATAGTCAGAGCCCGTGCCTTGAGACCCTCTCTGACACATACCTTCTTGGTGGGCGTCTGGCTGTCTTCAGGCTGGTTCTCCTTGCTCAGGAGGAAGCTGGCCACCTCCATCTGGGAAGCACTGCGATGGGGGATGTAGCGGTCACCGCCAGGTTTGCTAGGAGTGGTCTGAACCTTAGAACTGGATTTGCCTGGGGCAGAGAGAGAGAAGGCAGTCTGACTAGGCTCCTGGGGAAGGAGGCATCAAGGCTGCGCCCAGCCATTCTCTCTTGCTCCCGTGTCCCGCCACACTCCACCGACCAGGAGTTCGGCCCGGAGTCCTGCCGGCGCTGTGGGATCGGTTGGCGGCCCGCATGGGTGACGGAGCCGGCCCTGCGGCTTCCTTGGCTTTGCGCTGCCAGCGCGCGGGAGGTGCATTGGGGATGGGCGCGTCCAGCTGCAGCAGCGAGTGCAGGTCACTCTCGAACACGAACTGCGCCATGGGAGCGCCTGTGGGGGAGGGGTCCTTCCAGTTGGTGCCCGCCGAGCCCTGGAGGAAGAGAGGCGACCGTGCTCAGGGGACAGCGAGGGGCTCCTCCGTCCCCGACCGGCCACACAATCAGAGGCACCCTCGGCTGCAGCCCCTCATGCCTGGTACCCGCTAGCCGCGGCCCCACCCCGGCTCAGCCCAGCCGCCTCTCACCGTATGTTCCCGAGCAGGTTCCAATCCTAGACCGGCTTCAGCACGGCTGGCTTACGCCTCTTAAACTCTCCGCTCCGAGCACTCATTGGCTCCTTCAAAACCCAACCGTCGCAACTGTCGCCCTCGCCTATTGGCCTCTACGGCACAGAGGGCGGGTCTTCCGGGCATGTTACGGATCTCACGAGAGTCCATCCGGGTAGCGTGATTTGAAGGGTGGGAGAGGGGCTTAGAGGCGGTGCCGGGGTATTGCTGTCTGAATGCTGGTGGGCCTGGGTGAAGTGGAGCCTGCGCTGCCTCGGCGTACCCCGCTCTCTCCCATCCGCTCAGCGTCCCCTCACCTGGCGCGAGTCCAGAGTGTCGGGCTCCGGGTGCTTGAGGTGTCTGAGAGCCTGAGGACGCTCACATTTAAAGCCGCGCGTGGGTCGTATTTAGGATACACGCCTGCAGAACTCGGCGGAGAGACCCAAAGCGCTTGAGCCGTTCAGAGAAGGGAAAGGGGAGCCAGCGAGGGGCAGGCAGGCGGGCGGGGTGGGGCGGAGGGGCGAGGGGACGGAGTTGAGCAGCTTAGGAGCAGGAAGAAGTCCGGAGCTAGTTAGGGTGCATCCCGCTATTTGCTTGGCGCCTGGCAGAACCATCCCCCGACACACACCCCCACTAGAGAGGAAGTAACACACGTGTTTGTTTGTTTGCTGTTGTTTTACAACCAGGGAAAATGAGGCTGGAAGAGGGGAAGGGAATTCCCTAAGACCAGGAAAAAGGACCAGAATCTAAATCTGCCTATCTGGAAGATAAGGTTAGACTGCCCTATGGGAGACACTTTGGCTTACTCCCAGAGCCTTTAGAAGTGTCCGGAATCTTAGAGACCCACTTTAACCTGTGCGTGGTCCACCCTTCTCCATCCCCGCTTAGGGGAGGGATTTGGCCGAGGTCATACAAAGAAGTTGGTGGGAATCCAAGGCTGACTCCCGTTCAATCCAATGCTCTAATAATGACAGAAATGAACTGTGTGATTATGCTCAAAGGTGAAGCAGCAATAATAAAAGTAATGGGTACCACTTATTGACCATCTGCTAACTACTATGTTAAAAGTTTACATACATTATTGAGTTCAATCCTTAATCCCATAAGGCAGATACTGTATCTTCGTTTTATAGAAAAAGAAACTGGGTCAGAATGAGGTTAGGAACTTGCCCAAAGGCGCACAGCCAATAATAAGAGTGCAGCCAGAATTCAAAGTATCTAACTCCTGCAATCGTAACAATATGCTATACAGTCCCAGAAAGAGGCTGGAAAAATCAGGTTCTCAATCATTAGTCTTAACACCAACCCTGATGATAACAGAGAAAAATCTGGGGCTCTTTGCCCAAACTGAATATTGTTATTATCTTTGAATTTGAGGCATTCATATTCTCTATTTTTAATTACCTTGGAAAACAAGGAGTTGGATGTCCTGGCATTAGAAGTGGGGAGTTGGCCAGGCACCGTGGCTCACATCTGTAATCCTAGCACTCTGAGAGGCTGAGGCAGGAGGATTGCTTGAGCTCAGGAGTTTGAGACCAGCCTTAGAAAGAGTGAGACCCCATCTCTATAAAAAATAGAAAAATTAGCCAGGCAAGTTGGCACATGCCTGTAGTCCCAGCTACTCGGTAGGCTAAGGCAGGAGGATTACTTGAGCCCAGGAGTTTGAGGCTGCAGTGAGCTATGATGACACCACGGCACTCTATCCAGGTTGACAGAGTGAGACCCTGTCTCAAAAAAAAAAAAAGGAAGTTCTTGAACTACAGAAAATAAAAGAGGTAGTCTAGTATCAGGCTGGTCAGGGCCTTAAATATTAAGCTATGGACTTCGGACTTTATCTGCTAGGCATTGTGGAACCAGTGAGGGTTTCTGTTTAGGGAAGGACCAAACAAAACATATCTGAGGGGAGAACATGGCCAGCAGTTTGTGACTTCTGGACTAAGGGTAATTGTAGAGGAGAAGGATAAGGGTACAACCCCAGGGAATTTGTACATTTAAAAATAAAAGAATGAAGGAAAGCAATGGAGATTATAAGGACATGGACCTTGAAGTGGGAGGTCCACTATGCTATAAAGTGGTCAAGTAGTAGAGTAATGACAGAAAAGGTCAGATTTGGCCATTGGGAAGCAAATCACCAGTGACCTTGGTGAGCAGGATCAGGAAAGTGGGTGCTTGAGCTCCACTTGGAAGGGGCTGCAGAAAGGATGGGATAAGGAGAGTGTGCAGTCCGCAAGCATAGGCTGCTTATGGAGCTCATCCTCTGACCTCCTCTGTATTAGCTTGCTGTGGCTGCTGTAACAAGCTACCACAAACTGAGTGGCTTAATTGACAAATATTATTGTCTCACAGATTTGGAGGCTAGAAGTCCCAGATAAAGATGTCAGTAGAGCTGGTTCCTTCTGAAGACTGTGAGGAAGAATCTGTTCCATACTTCTCCCCTAGCTTCTAGTGGGTTGCTTGCAATCTTTGGCATTCCTTGGCATGTAGAAGTATCACCATGATTTCTGCCTTCAGCTTCAGTTGGCTTTCTCCCTCTGTGTATCTGTGTCCAAATTTCCCTTTTTATAAGAATACCAGTCATATTGGATTAGGGGCCATGACCTCATCTTAACTAATTATATCTGCAATGACCCTATTTCTCAATAAAATCACATTTGAGATACTGGTAGTTAAGACTTTAACATCTGAATTTGTGTGTATGCGGAATACAATTCAACCCATGATATCCTCCCAATGGTGGAACCCAAACAGAAACCAGAGCCCAAGAGAATTCATTGATGCAGACCATATGAATCAGCCTTGCAGAGCACAGGATAAGGTGGATAAAGATGAAGAGTAGGTCTGGATGGGGCAAATGGATGACATCCAGTATACCCACTCTCCATAATTCCTTCCCCAGCCATATGAAAGCCTCTGATTCTACTCCTAAGGACCCAAGTCTAGGCGGGGAGGAACGTGAGCTTGAGCTATTTATTCCCTTGGCTCCCTCCCTGCCACATCCCTCTACCAAAGGCCACAGCTCCTGCCAGGCAGCCCTCTCTCTTATCTACTCTCAGAGACCTGGGAACCACTTCCTCCCCTGACCCTTTGATGCCCAGGGGTGATGCCAGCTCCTTGTTAGCCCCATGGTACTGCACTGTTCCTTAATGGTTTTCCCAAATCTTGCCCTCCTCTTTGTAAATGCTGTATGCCCTTTATTAAACTCGCATCAAATTACTCAATCTGAGCATGTCATTTATTTCTGCGAGATCCTGACTGATACAGTGTGTATATTTGGAGCCAGCAAAAAAACCCAAAAAACATCAACAACTAAAAAACCATTTGTTTGAGAATACGAATGGGTTAGGGAAAACCATAACCGGAATTGTCTATGTACATTTACTGCTGCATATGAATGGCCAGCAAATGAAGCCCGACCTGCACCCACAGCCACTCCCCATCGCTCTAATCACTGCTCCAAACCACCCCCCATCATATCAGCAGGGGCATCAGACCCTCATAGGAACGTGAACCCCACTACAAACTGCGCATGCAAGGGATCCAAGTTGCGTGCTCCCCGTGAGAATCCAACGCCTGAGATCTGAGGTGGAGTGAGGCAGTGACGCCCCCCCTCATCCCTCCTCCCCTTCCCCACCCGCTGTCTGTGGAAAAACTGTCTTCCAGGAAACTGGTCCCCGGTGTCAAAAAGGTTGGGGATCGCTGGCTAAGAGGATGAGGGAAGTTTGCATGGGGCTAAGGTAATATTGCCCAGAAAGATTTCATTCATTTAGGAATCATTTATTGAAGGCCTACTATCATGCACCAAGCACTACTCTAGGTGCTGGGGGAAAAGGACAAATAAATCAGGGTCCTTGCCCTCAAGGAGCTCACAATCTAGTAGCGGGAGACAGACATATAAATAGTTACTTGCATAAAGCAGCATAGGTGCTTTAGTAGAAGTCCGGGCTGCAGATAAGAACTTTGGAATGGTCAACATATAGTAAAGGCACTGAGAATAGATGGGATTAGAGACTGTGTTAAGAATGGAATCTTGAGTCTGCAATTATCAAGGAGTAGAAGAAACCAGACTAGGAGATTAAGAAAACCAATGCTGTGTGTGGAAACAACTTAAAAAAGAAAAAAAAGAAGGAATAATTACAACAGGAGTTTCAGATATATTAAGCATTTACTATGTCCTAGGCATTGTGATTTACTTAGATTATCTCACTTAATCCTCTTCCTGACCCTATGGGGTACTGTTATTATCCCTGTTTTACAGTTGAGAAAACTAAGGCTCAGACACTAAGTTGTTTGCCAAGGCTGCACAGCTAAGAAGTGTGAAAGACAGGAATCGAACTTAGCTCTGACTCCAGAGTTTTTCCTCTTAACTGCTCATGTACTCAGAGAGGCAGGAGCAGAGCCAGGAGAGAAAGTAATGTTATAGAAGTCAAGGTAGCAGGGAATTATTTATTTCTTTTTTTAAATTTAGAAACCGTATGCGTGTTGTACACGCCCGAGAGCCTCTTCCATCCTTGTCAAGGGGAGTGCTAACCTTCTCTCCTTTCATACAACACTAGCAGAGAATTTAAAGGAGAAATGAGTAGTCAACCATGATGAATGCCACAGAGAGATCAAATAAATTCGTGATTAACAAGATCCTATTGGATTTTGCAATTAGAAGGTTTGAGGTGAACTTTGCCTGGGCAGTTTCAATAGCAAAGTAGCAGTGGGGGTAGTAATTGAAACAGTCTGAGGAGTAAATAGGAAGTGGGGAAGTAGAGACTTGTTTGCAAGGAGTTTGGCATTAAAGAGGAGAGAGAAAGAAGGTAAAAGTTCGAGCAGCTTAGTCAAATGAGCCTGCTTCTGCAGAAGACACCTGAGTTGATGTCAGCAGCAGTATAGGAAGATCAGTGCTACGAAGCCCAACTGTGAGGGGAGGCAGAGGGGCACGGAGGTGAGGTCTGAGGTGTTTGTGGTGGGGGTAGGGAGGGTAGAGAGGTTCACAGCAAGATCTAGAGGGTTAAGATCTGTCCAGGGTACTGGGGCGAGGAGCCTGCGCTCAGGGCTGCTGCCAACAACTTAGTGGTAGGTAGGAATGGTTGGCGATGTGGGTGGTACAGCAGGACGCTGACTCGGCCATGGGTGGGCACACAGATAGGGGCATGGTCCCCAGGCAAGAAGGCTGCAATCCTCGGTAGTCCATCTGGGCCTGGGAGGAATACAGGGGCAAGGGGTTCCTCTCTGAAGACTTAGGTAGGATTTCAAGGAGGCTGGGTTCCACTTCTTCATAGGTATCTGAGACTGTGGCCTTAGGCTGGGAGAGATGCGGGGAGAGGAGCTGGGTTAGAGCAGATCCTGTGGGAGGAGGGGCTGGATTGTGCAGGAAGGCGCATTGAGCTGGGGGCAGTACCTGGGGATGGCGCACGGGTAGATAAGGACCTTGAACCAGCTGTGTTGCGGGGGCAAGGACCCAGCACCAGGCAGTGTTGGTGATGGGGGCAAGGGAGGGAGCACACTCACCGGACTCAGGGCCGCAGTATCCCTAAGGTACTGGCCTAGGACCCGGTGTAGGTCTGGAAGTGAGGGCCACAGGGCATGCCTCAGTGTCCTGGGGAAGAAGGAAGAGGAGACTGAATCATGGGAGTGACTGGGAGGGATGAGGAGAGTACTGAGGTGGGGAAGTGGAGGAGGCAGTGAGGGCGGGGAGAGAGGCTTGGAGAGATAAGAGTGTGGTCAAGGCAACAAAGTAAGGTAGAGGAGTGTAGCTGAGAGAAAACCTCAGGTGGGGGAGGGAAGTCAGTGGCAGCAGCTACAACAAAGGGTGGTGGGGTTTCCTCAAACATTTCTGCTTCAGGGCCTTTGCACTTTCTGTTCTCTCTGCCTGGAACTCTCCATTCATTCCCTCATTTCAATTTGATCTCTGCTCAAATGTCATCCTGATGAGAGGCATTCCCTGACTACCCCACCTGAAACACACTGGTCGCCTCCATATCCACCAGGGATATGTTCCAAGACCCCTAGTGGATGCCTGAATCAGCGGACATATATCGTGTTTATTCCTATGCTACATACCTATGATAAATTATAAATTAGGCATATTAATAGTAAGAGATTAACAATAACTAATACTAAAATAGACCAATTATAGCAATATGCCAGCACCACTGCTCTTGCACTTTGGAGCCATTATTAAGTAAAATAAGGGTTACTAGAACACAAGCACTGCAATACCACGACAGTGGATCTGATAACAGAGATGGCTACTAAGTGACTAACGGGTGGGGAGCATATTCAGCATGGATTCTCTGGACAAAGGGATGATTCACGTCCCGGGCAGGATGGGGCGGGACAGCAAGAGATTTCATCACACTACTCAGAACAGTGCACAACTTGAAGCTTATGAATTATTTATTTCCAGAATTTTCCATTTAATATTTTCAGACTGTGGTTGACCAAGGGTAACTGAAACTGCAAAAAGTAAAACCACGGATAAGGGGGGATTACTGCAGTACCACCTCTCTTCCCCATCAGTCTATCTCCTGCTCCTCTTTGTTTTTCTTTATTGCACTTGACTTATACATTTATTATGTTATAAATATTTGTTTTTGTCTGTCTCACCCCACTAAACATAAGCTACACAAGAGCAGAAAGTATAACTATTTGTTGACTCCTGTATCTCCAGGGTGTAGAATAGTGTCTGGCCCATAGTAGGTGCTCAAGAAATTAGTTGAATGAATGAATGAATGAAGAGAACCAGCAGAGCTTATTACTAAGTTCCTGGAGAGGGTGGGCCATCTGGGAAGGGTATGGATTAAAGCATGTTGTGGGAACCTCCAATTCTTTATCCTCATATTTTCACATGGAGGGACTTTAGCTGAACAACATTTCAAGCCTCTTCTGTGACCTAACTAATATCTATCCAGGGGACTTACCTGATGAGTTGGGGAAAAGGAACTGAGTATGTCTGGCTCAGCACCACCTCCCTCTTCTTGCCCAGTTTTTTTGCTGAATCTGGTTACCTGCACATAGGCTGCATTCCGGTCTGCTTGTACATATGGGCAGATTAATTTTATTTATTTGTTTTTTAGACATAGGGTCTCACTCTGTCACCCAGGATGGAGTGCAGTGGTCTGATTATAGCTCACTGCAACCTCAAACTTCTGGGCTGAAGCGATCCTCCTGCCTCAGCCTCCTGAGTAGCTGGAACTACAGGCATGTGCCACCAGGCCTGGCTAATTTTTAAATTTTTTTGTAGAGATGGGGGTCTCACTATGTTGCCTGGGCTGGTCTCAAATTCCTGGGCTCAAGCCTCCCAAAGTGCTGGGATTACAGGCATAAATCACTGTGCCCAGCACAGAGGGGCAGATTAAAAGTTCAAAGAGAGACATGTTCAAAGAGAGATGGGTGCTCATGAGAGTGGCACCTGACCCAGCGTAGTACCATCAAATGCTGCTGCCTGGAGGAGCTGACTTCTGATCTAAGTCTTGAATCAGCAGATGTTACCAACTGAAGGACTGAAGTGGGATGGATTCTATCCTTCATGTTATAGCCTCCAGTGACATTTCTCCTTGGCCTTAGTATTCCCATGTAAATGAGTCATTTATTAATAACATTTATTTAAGGGCCTGCTATTTGGCAGGCACTGTGCTAAGGACCTGATGATGACCAAGTAAGCTATAATAGGGAAGATATATAAAGAAATGAATGCAGTAAAACGCTGCCGGTACTGTATTGGAACACAAAAGAGTGGCCAAGAGGGAAGGTCAGGAAAGGTTTCTTAAGAGTTGGTGAAGAAAGTTATTTAAAGATGAATGGGTTCAGTCACACACGGAGGCTATTTCAGGTAGAGGGGACATTATGTGCAAAGGCACTGAAGTAAAACCACTCGGCTTGTGGAGGAAATCATGGACCGTTTGGTAGGATGGAAGTGCTGGCAGGGGCTGGATTTTGCAGAGCCTTGCCTGTCATCCTAGGGAGCCTGGACTCTATCCTGGGAGCTATTAAAGGGATTTAAGGAGGAGAATGATAGATTCGTGTGTGCGTTTTAGGACGATTAATCTGGTGGCTGCGAGGCAAGTTTGGAGGGAGAAGAGGCTCTGTTTCAGTGAGTCTGGCAGTGTCTGTAGGGCTAGAGAAAGGGGGCCATTGTTCGAGCTAGGTTTAGGAGGTGGAATGACCAGACCTGATGGCCGATTGGATGCGGGCGGGGTGGGCAGGGAGGCACCTGACTGTTCTGGCTTGGGTGAAGGGTGGATGGTTGCCTTAGAACTGAGGTGAGCAGCAGGAGGTGGGGCTGTTTGAGGTGTCCAATATAGTGGGCGTGTTAGAGTGTAAAAGGACAGTGCGACTCCCAGAGGACACGCGCAGGAAGCAGCTAAAGCCATAGGTGTGGATGTGCGGTGATCACAGAGTGACCCCAGAATGCTTGTTTAGAGGCTGCCAGCTCCCGGGTCCAAGGCAGGTCTTCCGCAAGGTGGGGGCGGTACCTGTAGTGCGCAGGGAACTGCCATCTCAGCAGCAGCAGGCCCAGAAGGGCGCTGAGGCCCAGCACCAGGAGCAGAGCGGTCACCAAAGAGATCCAGGCTAGGAGACAAAAACCGCCAGATCTCAGCGGAACCTGGCTGGAGCCCCGCCCCCAGGCCCGCCAGACCCACTCTAGCTCCGCCCCTCGCCCCCCCAGGGCACCCTAGAAATCAGCGCAGCCGCAGACCGGTGCGGCCAGAGCCCCGCCCCGCGCCCGGCGCCCCGCCCCCTGCGCAGGCCCAATGCGGCTTTGGCCTGGCCTGGCCCGGCCTGGCCTCACCGGTTTCGGAGGTGGTCTCCACCTTCGCTTGGTCGGACCAGGCGCTCCAGGGGCCGTGGTAGGTGGGGCCGTTGAGCCTGGCGCGCAGCTGTAAACGGTAGCGAGATCGGGGGCGCAGCTCCAGGGTCCCTCTGCGGGCCCCGAGAGGAGGCTCCAGCACCTATGCAGAGAAGCGTGCGGTGGCCCGGCGTCTGGGCCTCGAGAACCCGGCCTGTGTGTGACCAAAATCCTACCGCTTTGAATCCCTGGGCAGTCGAGGATCCCCACAAAGAGCCTTAGCGGCAGAAAACACATTTCTCGACAGAAAGATGCACGATAGAGCACTCTGACGGAGAGCATCTTCCTAACTGGGCCACGTCCTGCCACGATACACACCCTGGCACGCAGACCGCACCAGCTCTGAGAACTCCGCATCCGACACACATCCCCTGGTACACCCTCGGCAGAGATCCTGGTACACGAACACCCTGCCGGATGCTCTCTCCACAACTCCAGGTCAACCCGAGACACTCGGATACTCAGCCACACAGACCATGCCACAAATGATACCCGTGCCGCAGAGGATGCCAGATTGTGCTAGGTGCTGGGGTACGAGCATCATGTGTATGTACAAGCAGGAAGACTAGCGAACATTGTGAACTGTTTGTGATAAGCCAAACGTTGGGCTAGACACTTGGGAAAAAGAAAGTACGGTCTCCCACGTGTCTAATGAGGAAGACATCCAAACAGGAAAGTAATCACAACAATTAATTAGTGCAAGGCACCATGGGAACACAAAGAAGCATTTAGTGCTGCTCAGCTGCTTGGATGGGTGTTGCAGAGTAGTTTAGTGTGCCGAAAGCATGGAAGGCTGGTTGGTCACAGATGAGGCTAAGACAGTCCTAGTAGGAATTTGACGACTTTTGGCACATTGTACTCAGCTTACTTGCTAATAAATAAGGGGAAGGGGTGAGAGGAAAGGGAGAAGAGTCAAAGGTGCTTCAAGGTTTGGGTACTGGGTGAGTGGTGGTGCCATTGTCAGATGAGGGACAAAGGAGAAGCAAGTTCGGGGAAGACGTACTTTAATGGCTCCATTTTATAAAGTTCAACAACAGTCAAAGTGAATCAAAGGTAATGTCAGGGTAGTGGTTACCTTTGGTGGTGTGGAGGCTGAAGAGCACATAAGGAGCTTCTGGGGTGCTGGAAATAATTTATATCTTGATCCTGATAATGGTCACATGGGTGTATATGTACACATGTACAAACTAATTGTATATTTAAGATTTGTATGCTTTATTGTATGTAAGTTATATCCATGGAAAAGTAAAGCTTGGGGAGGAAGATGAGTTCAGTTGTGGATACATTAAGTCTGAAATATCGGAGGGGAAGGGGTTTGGTAGGACTGTCTAGTAAGAAGTTGGATATGTGTGTGGTAAATGAGAATAAAAATAGACAAACTAATATTTAATGCATATTGAGCACCTTCTGTATGTCAGGCAATATGCTAGGTATTTATATACAGTATTTAATTTTTACTCTAACTCCGTAAGGTAGATAGCATTGTCCTTATTTCAGCAATGAGGAAACTCAGACTTCAAAAGTTTAGGTAATATGCCTGTGGTTTGCACGTTCCTTTCCATATTGGGGCCAGAATGATAAAATTAGGATCATTAATATGCAGTCATTTAAACCATGGAGTTGAAGCACTCACCTAGGGAGAACATGTTTATTTATCAAGAGGAGAAAAGAGCCTAGGATGCACAATATTTTATGAAATTGTGGAAAGGAAGGAGCCAGGAGAGGAGAGTGAGAAAGTTTAGTCAGAGAGGTAGGAAGAAAATCAGGGGAGACAAATCCCAGAGGCAAAGTGAAGAGAAAATTTGAAGTGAAAGTAGCCAGTGGTGTCAGATGCCCAAGAGTGATTAAGATACCAGTTAGACCAGATAAACATCGATACACTAGCCCAGACACGGATCCACAAACACTTTCACTCCTGATAACAGACGTGACAAGCCTCAGGAATACCCCGTGCAGGGAGGCCTGTGGGCCTTCATTGCGTCACTGTACCTTCCAGTCCTGATGGCCTTCTCCCATGTATCGGAGCTGATAGCAGATCTCTTGGGCTGCCCAGGATGATGGGTGCTGCCACTCCAATTCCAGCTGCCCACTGGAGACCTCCCTCCAGTGTAAGCTTGGGGTGGGAATGAGCACTGTAGGGAATGTCAGCAGGGACTAGTTTAAGCCCTTTTGTACATGAGGCATCATGCCACCAGGGCCATGGGTCAGAAGTGTCGGAGTTGGGGATCCTGGGCAGAGGGTCAGATTTGGTGGGGAGTGGGAACTGTGTGGGAAATTCCTTACCAGTGCGGTGGATCCAGAAAGGGGAGCCCAGGTAGCTGTGAACAGCACCCTGGGCTGTGGTCATCTCCACAAGAATGTGAATAACACTGTCATTTCGTGACTGGAAGTGGCAACGGGAGAACTGGGGGGTTTGTGATCCTGGATGTGTTTTCTCCTCCTCTTCACACTTCTCCCAGATGGGGTACCTAAGAACCAGCCCCGTAGAGTCATTGAATCAGGCCTGCCCCAGAGACCAATCCTGATACTCCCCATCCCATAGGAAGTATAGCCTTCATGGATTATAGTCTAATGCCTCCCTGGGTGGGCCTCCAGGGCTTTCCCTCTGTCTTCATATCATCACGTTTTATTTTCTGAAGTCTGCTTTGTTGTCTAGCCTCTTCTCTTAGAGAAAAGAGCTAGCATGATAAGTGAAAATAGCATGGGCTATAGAGTTCAGGTCTTGGCTTACCGGTATATAACTTTGGGCAAATTACTTGTTTTATCTCTGCCCCTATTTCCTTCCATTTGTAAAAGGGATTGATGATACTTACCTCACAGGATTGTTTCAAAGATTAAAGAGGCTCATCTTTCTGGAGGAAAACATCCTATATTTTTAATTTGTTCTGATATGGCAGCCCTCTTACTCACCCTTATGTGTTATTTTGCTATTAGGTCATTAAAACAGTCTCCTAACTGGCTTTTCTGTCTCCATTTTTGCTACTGCCTTCCATTTGTTTTCCACGCCGCTACCAGAATTCGCTTCCAAAAACGTTGATATGATAATGTCCAGAATATATCTCAAATCTGTTTATTTTGATTTTCACCGCAGCCACATGAGATGAAACCACCATTATCTCATGCCTGGATTACGGGAAATTTCTAACTGATCCTGCTTCTACTCTTATTTATAATTTCACAGAGAAACATGTCTTTTAAAAATGTAAATCAGGCCGGGCGTGGTGGCTCACGCCTGTAATCCTAGCACTCTGGGAGGCTGAGGCGGGTGGATTGCTCAAGGTCAGGAGTTCGAGACCAGCCTGAGCAAGAGTGAGACCCCGTCTCTACTAAATATAGAAAGAAATGATCTGGACAACTAAAAATATATATATAGAGAGAAAAAATTAGCTGGGCATGGTGGCGCATGCCTGTAGTCCCAGCAACTCGGGAGGCTGAGGCAGAAGGATTGCTTGAGCCCAGGAGTTTGAGGTTGCTGTGAGCTAGGATGACGCCACGGCACTCACTCTAGCCTGGGCAACAAAGCAAGACTCTGTCTCAAAAAAAAAAAAAAATGTAAATCATATCGTGTCACTTTTCTGTTTAAAATCCTTCAGTGGCTTCTTGTCCCACTTGGAATAAAATCCCGACTCCACTCCAGGGCCTCCAGGACTCTATATGATTTGGTTCCTCCTTACCTTACCATTCTTATCTCCTGTCATTCTTGTGCCAGTTTGTCATCCTTCATCCACATGGGACTTCTTTCTGTGCCACAAATATGTCAAATGCACCGTCTTTACTCTTTGCCTTTGCCCTGGGTTGCTCAGACTGTAGGTCTTCACGTGACTCACTCCTTCTCGCCACTTAGATCTCAGCTTACTTGTTACCTCCCTGGTGAGGCTTTTCCTGACCACTCAGTCTAAATTAGTATCCCCCTCCTTAACCTCTATCATATAACCTTGTTCCTTTATTTCTTTACTTGTTTGTCTGCTTGTCTTTTTTCCTTCCCCAACACTGAACGTAAGCCCCAACAATGCTGGAACCTCTTCCATTTTATTTGTCAGTCTATCCCCAGTGCTTGGCACATAGTCACTCTCAATAATTGTTTATTGAACAAGTGAATCATGTCTCCCTCCTGATTATAACGTCTAACTGGCCTGCCATCACCAAAATTATTTATCACTTATGTTTGCCCATTTATGTGCCAGGCACTGTGCTAGGCCCTGTGAGTCCACGGAGGAATAGAATCAACTTCAAGGAGCTCTTGTTTCAGTGGGAGAGACAGAGAACAGATGATATTTTTCTGTGATGTGCATATGCTGGCTTGGGAGCATCAGAAAGAAGCATCTAACCCAGACTGGGAGGGTCAGGGAATGCTTCCTGGATAAGGCAGTGTTTAGACCGACTGTCGGACTAAAAATAGGGTAGGCAAAGGGGACAGACAGGCATCCAGGCACATGCTTATGCACAGATAAGAGTGTGGTGCTTTGCGGGAAATTCTAAGTGGTTCAGATGGTTTTAGCAGAGGGGCCTGGTGGTAAGTGGTAAAAGTGAGACTGCAGACCACATCACAGATGTCCTGTGGCCTCTATGTGGAGCTTGAACTTAATCTTGTGGCAATTATCGAGACTTTTAAGGATTTTTAAGCAGGGAAGTATCATAATTAGCTTTGCTCTTTAGGATGCTCACTCTAACTACAGTTTTTAGAAAGGATTTGTGAGGGCAGACTAGAAGCAGGGAAATCCGTTAGGACACCGTTGTGCTTTTTCATGTGCAAAGTGATGATGGTTTGACAGTACGGTAGTGGCAGTGGGATAGAAGGAAAGGGATGAGTGAAGAGATATCGAAGAGATAGAAATGACAAGCTGATTTCTGATTGGACCTGGAAGGTGTAGGAATGGGAGAAGTCCAGGATGATTTCTATTTTTCAGGGCTGGAAAACTGAGTTGATGGTAGAGTGGAGGACAATAGAGGAAGAGCAGGTTTTGGTAGAGGAAATAACTTCCGTTTTGCCACCCTTTAATCCATTCACAGCACCTCTGTACAATGGGTATCTGTGCAGTTATTAAAAAGAATGAGTTACATCTTTTTGTAATGATCTCTAAGACATATTTTTAAGTAAAAAGGTGAGTTAACAAACCATATATTAATATATAATGTGATCCAATTTATACTAAAAACTTAAATACCGTATATAGTCATATGTAAATGCAGAGAAAAAACTGGAAGAATACATTAAAACTGTTAATAGTGATTTTTCATTATTCATTAAAGCAACAGTTTTTTAGAGATATATGGTAGAACAAGAATGTATAATAGTACCATCGGATCTAGTAGGGAAGGTCAGGGAAGGGTTCCCCCAGTAAGTGAGACTTGAGTTGAGATCTGAACGATTAGTAGAAGTTAAGTAAAGACAGGAGGATAAATTAGAGGTGAACGAGACTGTAGGCTGTTGCAGTGGTCCAGGTAACATGATTAAGGTTGAACTAAACCAAGCCATTCCCAGCAGGAAAAGAGAGAGGATGAGGAGATAAAATCCTCCCCTTTAGAGGATGAGAGAATAGATAAGAGAGCATGGAGGCTGTTTGATTTGGGATGAGGGAGGAGAGCGAGGAGGACCAAGAACAGTCTCTTTCTTCTTTCTGTAAGATTGTGCCTCTCTCAATCAGACAATTGTGACATCAGACTCAATTAGCAGTTCAACCCTCACCTGTCTCTGGGGCAGCACCGTTCCCTGCTGTGATAGAAGAAGCCTTGGGAGCTAGCATTGTCCTGTTGCTGCCACTGACAGGTGACATTCTTTAGGTCCAAGGTAAAGCATTGCAGTCCAATTGCCACTGAGGTCAAGAAGTAAGTCCCATTAGGTCCCATGTCCCAGTACTCTATAGGGTATTCAGATCATTCTCACACACAGCACTTAGAATATTTGCTCCTGCTCTCTCTTCTCTCCCCGAACATAGTTCATCCCGTCCAATGGCAAGTTTGAGGTTGTTGGGGGACCATGGTCCCAGAACCCTCATATCAATCCCAAGCCTCCCTGGAGATCTTTTTTTTGTTTTAAATCTCTTCCCTATTCTTTTGTTGACTCACTTGCATCTGCAGGCAGGTCCACGGTCACAGGGAAGGACCAGGATCCCCAGGAGCCACCAAGGGAAACCCCATCAGGTTGGCTGCGCAGCTGGAGCCAGTAGGAGTGGCCAGGCTGGAGGCCTGAGATGAGGCAGCTTCCCCGCATCACTGTCAGAGATGGAGCCTTGGGAGACAAATCCCAGCCTCAGGATCTAAGCCTGCCTGCCAGCCAAGACAGCCTCCAGCCAGTACATTTGAAGGCCCACAGCATCCCTGTGGAGAGGAGCTCAGCTCCTTACTGGATAGATACGCACCCAGACTAGGGGCCAGGTCCAGTAGGTTTCAGGTGCCATTCAGGGGTTTTTAGGGAAATCTCCAGTAATTTGGAGGCATGAAAGCCCTCCATTTTGCCAGTGTGAATGACCCAAAGTGGGAAAGTTCTAACTAGACATTGCTCCTGAGGGCTAATCAGAGCCTATAACTGGCCGGGCATGGTGGCTCATGCCTGTAATCCTAGCACTCTGGGAGGCTGAGGCAGGAGGATCACTTGAGGTCAAGAGTTTGAGACCAGCCTGAGCAAGAGTGAGACCCCATCTCTACTAAAAGTAGAAAAATTAGCCTGGCGTGTTGTTGAGCACCTGTAGTCCCAGCTACTTGGGAGGCTGAGGCAGGAGGATCACTTGAGCCCAGGAGTTAGAGGTTGCTGTGAGCTAGGCTGATGCTACTGCACTCTAGCCCAGGTGACAGAGTGAGACTCTGTCTCAAAAAAAAAAAGCCTATAACTCCCCAAAGACCAACCCAACAGCCTGGGATCCCCAAAGCTCTTTTTTTTCTTTTCTTTTCTGCAGAGAAAGGGGCTGAGGGATTTGCAGGAAGGGGGACCCTGCCCAGAGGTGCCCCGCCCCCGCTGAGCCCACTGGAATTCCCAAAGTATGGCCTGTCCTTTCCTGGGGCAAAATTGGGGGTAGGGGATAGGAGGTGGAGAAGAAGAGGGCCGGAATACTTCTCTAGTTGGGGAAGTCTGCTTGGATCCATCCTGTCGGGGCATCGTGGGCTGAGCACATGAAGGCTGGTCCAGAGCGGGGCCTGAGTTTGGCCTCCACAGAGTGGGGCAGCAGGTTTCTGTGGTGATCAGCTGCATGACTGTGGGGCCAGTGGAGTTCTCAGAATCCTTGGGGCCATAGCGGAGTTCGTGCCTCAGGAAATCACTGATTTCGGGAGCTGGGGACTCCCAGCTGATCTGAAGCTCTCCTGGCTGGCTCCCACCCTTGGCCTCGATGATCCTAGGGGGACCTGGCAGGCCTGAGGGCAAGACAGGGCACACAACTCTCTGAGCGCCATAGTCTATGGCTCAACCCATGAACGGTAGGGAGGGGTGCTGGCGGCTGAATTGGGGGCAGCCTCGGGGTTCAAAAAGATCATAGACCATCATTCTCCTAGAGGGCAGGCCAGGAAGGCTTCTTATTCTGTTCTTCGCTCATGAGAACAGTGACCTCGATGCAGTATAATGGTTTGTTAGACTCAGGGCTCCTTGAAAGCAGGGATCTCTTTTTATCTCTGTGTCCTCGTCACCTAGCACAGTGGCTGGCACACAGTAGGTATTCTGTAACTGTTGAATGGGTGAGTAAATGAATATGTGGATGACAGGAGGACCAGGGTGTCCCTGGTGTGAAATGATGTGTGGGATAAGTCTAGCTCTGGGTGCCTAGGCTGGGAGGAATGACAGGGAGTCTCGAGGTACCTCTAGGGTCTGGTAATGGGGGGCATCCCTGCTGTCCTGAAAGAGTACAGACAAGTCTGATTTTAGGAGCCAGACTGGGGGCAGCAAATGGAGGGGGCAGGGTGGTGGGAAGATGATGGCCCTTACCCACGCTATCCACAAAGAGCACTCGCTTAGTCGTAGTCTGGTTCAGGAATACATTCTTCACCCAGAGGTACAGCGGAAAGAAGAGGCGTACTTCATCCTGGGCGGGAAACTGGCACACATATCGGGTTCCAAAGGGTACACTCTGGGAACTCAGGGGGCAGGCCCGAGGCGTCTCCCTGTTGACATAGGAGAGGTCCTACCTACACGACCACCATGCTCAGATCTGAGAACCCAGACCTGGACCCATGCCCAACTTCTGTTTCCATCACTGCTGTTTCTCTTCTCAGTGCCTGGGATAGGTGAGATTAGGGGTTACATAGGGGGTTGAGCTGGGGCCCACTTACATCCAAATCACATCTGTTCATAAAGTGGCTACCTAGGGCATGCATTTGGAGTAGTCCTTGGATAGGACCAAAGACAGGGAAGCCACTGGAGTGGGACTCAGTTCAGCTAAGTGCAGGGGCAGATACATGGGGAGTGGGGCACAGCCCAGCACCTACCCTGGGTAGGCATACAGCAGCTGGTATGTCCCACTGGGCGCTGCCTCTTCCTCATCCCAGAAGCAAGTGAGGTCCTCAAATGTTCGGGAGAAACAGGTCAGGGGCTCTGAGTCCAAGGCCAGCAAGGAGACATCTGAGGAACAGCTGGTGGGTTGGGCTCTGGGTCCTCCCAGGCACGTTTATGAGCAGGATTAAGGGACCAGTGGGAGCCTCCTCCTCCTCTGCATCCCCTCCCAGGGCTCTGCATCCCCTCCCAGGGCTCCCTCTTCCTGGGCACAAGTGATCTCCACCCTCTGCACACCTCACCTTGGCTGGTGACTTGTGCCAGGTTTTGGGGGGCCAGGAGGAGGCAGGAGGTGACCATGAAGAGGGCCCAGGAGGGCATCTTCTCCGGCACTATGTGCCTGCCTCAGCCCATCCTCCCTTCAGGAAGCCAGGCCCCAATCCCCTCCCAGGCCAGCCCCTCAGGTTCCTGTCAGATACAGCCCCACGTCCTGTCCCTGTCCCTGCCCCTCTGGGGCCCATCCAGACCACACTGGGGCCAGGGGCCAGGGGAGGGGAAGTGGGAAGGAGGGGAGGAGGAATTAGAAAGAGCGGACATAGGCCTTTTGCTGGCGGGGGTTGGGGGAGATGGGGCTTGTACATTTGACTGTGCACCAAAAGGAGATTAAGCCTCGTGTGTCTGTGTCAACTATTATAGAAGGACATGATAGCATCAGTATAGCAACATTCACTGAACACTTACTATGCTGCCATGTGTTAAGCACTTTGTATCTATGTACTGAAACAGTCCTCACAGCAGTCTTCCATTTCCATTGTAGAGATGAGGAAACAGGTGCACAGAAGTTAAACATTTGCCCAAGATCACTTACATACTAAGAGGCAGAGCTCAGGAGGTCAGCCTTTAGAACCCAAGTGCTTAACAACCACGCTGTGTTCTTGAGAGGTATGATCTACTGAGAAATGACTGCCTACCTCACAGCCATGGCCTAATGGTGGATATTTCCACTTTAATAGATTCTGTGACTTCGTGCAGATAAACACAATCGTGCAAATAAATGGAGGACATGCGCCTTCCATTTTGGGCGGCCTCTACAGCTGCCTCTAGCTCCTTGCTGTTGGAAATGTGGTCTGTAGACCAGTAGCAACAGTGTTACCTGGGAGCTTGTTAGAAATGCAGAGTCTTAGGCCCCACCCTGGACCCACTAAAGCAGAATCTGCATTTTACCCAAATGTTCAAGTGATGTGAATGCACATTAAAGTTTGAGAGATGATGGTCTTCAGTACGTTTATCTGACTTTCTCAGAATCAGGGGATGGTTGGTCTCAGCTCTTCAGCTTGTGCTCATGTTCTTCACCTTCAGAGCAGAGTGGTGGGTGTGACCCCATTGTTGGACCCCAGGCCTCCTCCTTGGGGTGCTGTAACCAGGTGGACTGTATGCCCATTCTAGGAGCTTTGACCCTTGCGTGGATGGGGGCAGGACTGGGAGCTGGGGGGAGGGTGCATAGCCACATTAACTCCTACATTTATCTTCTCAAGCTTCAGCTGGGGCTCCCGTTCCTGGCTTTCCTGACTAAGCGTCCTCATTATTACCTTCCTTTCTTCCGCCTTCTGAATTAATTTTACTAACAGAATTGTGGGGAATGGGGGGTGATAAATGGAAATCCTTCAGCCCTCCTGTGAAGTCCTGGCTTCTCTGGCACCATTTCTCTGCAAGCAGTCCCTGAGCCAGGTTTGTCCTTAGCCCTGTCTGGCTCTCGGTTTACAAGGACCAATGGACTTGCCTCCCCAGTCCCTGTCAAGGGCTGCCCAAGCTTCTGTCAGATCAAGTGAGAGAGGTAACACAACATTCATGGTTTTGGATGCCATATATGCACTGATGACTTCAAAATTAACCTCTCTAACTATGACTTCTTCCCTGGGCTCCAGATTTGGGCAAATGACTGCCTTACTAACTTTTCTGCTTATGTGTCTAATAAGCATCTTCTACTTAAGATGACCAAAATAAAATAAAACTCTTGATTCCTTTTTTTTTTTTTGGAGACAGAGTCTCACTCCAGGTAGAGTGCAGTGGTGTCATCATAGCTCACTGCAACCTCCAACTCCTGGAATCAAGTGATCCTCCTGCCTCAGCCTTCCAAGTAGCTGGGACCACAGACACACGCAACTATGCCTGGCTGATTTTTTCTATTTTTAGTAGAGACAGGGTCTCTCTCTTGCTCAAGCTGGTCTTGAACTCCTGATCTCAAGTGATCCTTCCGCCTCCCAGAGTGCTAGGATTATAGGCGTGAGCCACCACGACCCCGCCTAACCCTTGATTCTTGTTCCCACCCTTAGCCTGTTTATTTTTTTTCTCCAGTCTTGCCACCCTCTGTAAATAGCACCATCATCTACTCAGTCGCTCAAACTAAAACCCTGAGTACTCCTCCATTCTTTCTCTTACTCTCCATCCCGGTAATTAGCAAGTGCTGTCAGATCTTCCTTCAGAATGTACCCGAATCTGAACCCTTGCTCTTACCACCCTAGTCCAAGTCTGGGCTACTGCAACAGCTTCCTGACTGGTGTCCCTGCCTCCACTCCTGCCCCTGCAGGCTGTCCTTCACAGACGGAGTGATATGTCTAAAATTCATGTCAGATTTCTTCACTCCTCTCTTAAAATCCTGCGAAGATTTCCCATTGCACTTACAATGCAGTTCTCCCGCCTCCCAATGGCACGCCAGGCCCCGCCCGACCCGGCTCCTGCCTGCTTGAATCTCATCTCCTACCACTTTCTTCTTCACTCTAAACCAGCCACGACAACCTCATTGTGTCTCTCATCTTGATCCTCACCGTACTCAACTGCGACACTTGATCTTCTTCCTTGAGTCCCACAGTGTCGCATCCTCCTGGTTTCCTCCTACCTGCTGCAACATTCCCTCTCATTCCTTCTGTGGTTGCTCTTTCTCGCTCTCGTGCTGTTCCCAGGTGCCCTTCCTTAGCCCTTTATATTGCCCGAGTGACCTCAAGGCTTCGATTCTATCTATATACCGGTACCTCCCAAGACCTTATCACTCTCTTGAACTTCAAATTCTCAGTTACTTATTGGTCATCTCTATTGGTGTTCACAGGCACTTCAAACTCACCAAATCCCAAATAGAACTATTACTAACTCCCACACACCCTTTTTGGATCTTCCCTTCCTCTATTTTGCATCTTGCATAGGCTGCCCAGGCATCTAAGCCTGAAACCTGAGCGTTACCCTCATATTTTCATTCTCCCCCCACTCCTACACCCCAGTCCTTACCAAGTCCTCTGTCTTCTCTAGGGACGCAGAATAATAATGGTTAAGGGTGCAGAGCCCATGAGGGGCTTGTCCATGACTGTCAAAGGGTTGAGATGGGGGCTTTCTGCTCTCCCTGTCATTTTCCCATTTTCCTCTGCATCCACGCAGCTGGGAACAGCTGCCTCCCCCAGTCCCTGACTTCTTTAGAAAACCAAGCAGAAACTGGGATAGGGCTAGGGGAAAGGTGGGTCTGCTTGCTTTGGTTAAGGACTCCTGCAGGCTGTTTAAGGTCCAGCCCCACTCCGCAGGCCTAGGCTTTTCTGTGGGGATATGAGGCCAGAGTCCTGGCTTATAAGAGCTGGTACTTGACCTCTGGGTAGCCGTTGCTCGGAGAACACAAGAGGTTGCAGGATGAGGACTGGCTTAGGCAGTAGTGTGTGTTAAACTGGCTCCTGGGAGAGGAGTGGAGGCGGGGAGAGTCTTAATTTGTAGCATTTGCTGCTTTCGTGGTGTTAAGTACTTCCGTCAGGCCAGTCCCAGGCTACTAACGTCGTCACTGAGCAGTGGGTTGGGAAGGGACCTGGCTCTTGGCTCTCCTGAGCCCATCCCTGTGCACTTGCCCCCAGCCCCCCATCTCTCCAGATCTCCCAACACCTGCTGTTTTTATCCAGTCGGAAAGTCTGGGACAGGTAGCCCTGGGCACCAGGATTCTCTCTCTCCATCTTTTCCCCAACATGGCCAGCCCTCTCTCTGAAACGAGTGTTCCATCTGTACCCCGGCAATGTGTTAGGATGCTGTATTTCCCCCCACCTTTGTCACTGTTGTTTTGAGTTTGCCATTCTGATAGTTGGAAAATGGTATCTCCTTACTTGGTGTTTTTTTCCAAGGTTCAAATTTACTTTTATTCTTTCCCTGCTTAAGATCCTTCCGTGGCTCCACGTGATCCTTTGGACTAACACTTGTCTCTGCTGGAACACAGGGCCCTCGCCACCTCCGCCTCTTCCCCTTGCTGTTCTCTCTGTGAAGCTCAGTTTTCTAGTTTCCACTCAGTCCTCTTTCCTGCCACAGGGCCTGCTTCCCTTCGCTTCCAGGCACAGACTCTCCCAACCTATCAGCCTGGGGAACTTTCTTTGTGATTCCAGACATGTCCCCACGTCACTACTTCTTGGGAGTCTTTTCTTATCCCCCCAACTGTATGTAAGGAGGGGAAAGGGCGAATTGAAAAGGAGAAATGCAATTTCGCACCCCTTTCAGAGGCCCCATAGCTCTTCAGTGATCAGAAAATACTTGATGGGCCTTTCTGTTTTAAAAAGACAGGGCCTTTGGGCGTGGCCTCCATCAGAAGCATCAAAGAGCTAAATTTGCTGAATATGAAATGGATGGGAATTTTGGAGTATCCTGTGGTAACTCCAGAGGAAAAGGAGGACCAGTACGTGAAAGACAACAACCTGAGGGGAAGAAAGGCCGACCAGTGAGAAACTCCAGGTAGGACTGTCTGAGAACAATCTCAGAGCGGTGATGCTTCATACTCAGTTTTAACTTTGCTTCCCAGTCTGTGAATGTTTAGCTTCCCTAGAGCATGCCCCAACATTCAGTAAAAGTGTCCTGCACACTAAACCTTATATTCCGGGAGCTTTAGAAATGAAGGGAAAGAGGCGATGCTACTTGTGGAGCTGAGACAGGAAGTGAGCAGCCCAGTGGTGGCGAATTTAGCAAGAGCAGGAGTGCAGGCTGAGAGGCAGTGACAGGACATGAAGCCGTGGAGAGTCCTGGTAAAGACAGAGGTAGGCATGGGCTCCCCAGAGGATGCGGAACAGGGACAGAGCCATTCCGATTAGATGTAAATGGAAAAGGTGACCCCAAAGGCCGGCAAGCCTGGAGGACGTTTGGGTGGCATACACATAATCTTTCCTTCCTCTGAGACCCGCAGAAATTTGTGCCTCTGTTGGGGGTTCTTTTATGTGAACAGCCATGCTGTGGCTCCATGCTAGCCAGACGAGATATGACCCCCAGGTGGGGACTGTCCTCTTCACTCCTCCGGGGGCAGGAGCTGGGTGGGAGTGGGCTTGCCTCTCCTCCCGCCTCTGTCTCACAGTGTCCGCCAGCTAGCAGTAACAAACACT